CGGGCCGGCAGAGGCGAAGTCCACCGCTATCCCATCAGCCCGCGCGGCAGGCCCGCTCTCTCCCCAGCTCTCGGCTGCCCCTCCTCCTCTATCCCGTCCTGCTCTGCGGCGCAGGGCAAGATGGCTGCCGAGAAACAGGTCCCTGGCGGCAGCGGCGGCGGCGGCGGCGGCGGCGGCGGCGGAGGTAGTGGACGCAGTGCCGGAGGGGACGAGAATAAAGAAAACGAACGACCGTCAGCCGGATCGAAGGCCAACAAGGAGTTCGGGGATAGCCTGAGCTTGGAGAGTATCCTGGAAGAATCAGGCCCGACTCGCAATGACTACGTGTCGATCTGTCGGGCCGGGGGCGGGAGAGGCGGCGGGTCCGAGCACGTCCTGGCCACGGGAGGAGGCCGAGGGTTGCAGTTCCTTTGTAAGAGTTTTGAGGCCTGCTCTCCGACGGGCTTTTCTTAGCATCCCTCTCGGGCCCCCGGTTCAAGACACCCCTTTATCTTCAAGGGGCACGGGGATGTTGGACAGGTTTTCCCAGTGCGCAGTTGGAGGGCGTGGACACAGGTGCCCTTCTGGCTGCCCCCTGAGCTCCTGCCCCGGCTTCTTGAGCCATCCATCCGGGGAGAGCAAAGGGCAGGCTTGACGTATGGACTCGATGACTTGATCTGACAGCCGTGGAGGCTAGAGTGGTCAAAGATGACAGCTTGATGCTGGGTACAAGGAGGCAGGGATTGACTGCTTCGTGGGAACGGTGGTTACCTATTTCGATGTAAACTATCCTACAGATCTTTATGGTGTGTAGACATTTTATCCTGTTGAGAGCTGTCAGATGAGCTGTAGGAATTGGATTCTAATTTCCATATAGTGTGTAGCACAGTGCAGTGTTTGTGACACTAGCTCGTAGGTTTTTTAAATGAATAACAGAAAAATATCGATTCCTTTCTGAAAGAGCACAAGTCGTTTGACGTCTCCATTAGTTAAGCTTTTAGAAGTTTGGAGTTTTGCTTATTAGGTCTAATTCCATATGGACGTCACGATGCCTGAATTTCAACAGCTGTGTATTTCCCTGTCTTTTTAAAATATTAGAATAACTCCTTTGTTGGTGTCTTGTTAGATGCCCGTGTAGTGTATAACTTGCTGGGGCTTTATGAACAACAGATTTGAATCCTGACTTCTCCTGTGCCGACCTTATCATCTCTGACACACTGCCTGGCCCATCCATCATGGCAGCCACTGTGTCAACACGTGTGGTTGAAGATCTTTCTCTTGTGCTGACCCTCTGTTTTTCCAAGCATGATGTCCCTTTCCAAGAAATAGCGTCTCCTAACAACATGCTGGACATATGTGAGAAAAAGCTTTATCATTCTTGTCTTCAACAAGCATTCTGGTTGCGCTTTCTCCAAAACATCTATGTGTTCTTTAGACAGTCCATGGGATATTTGGTGTTTATTATTTAAATTTGCATGTAGACCAAAGCATTGAGAAACTTAATGCTGAAATTGTAGCTGAAAGTCATTGGACTTCCAGGGTTTAGAAACTTACAGAGGTCGAGTGAGTGATCAGGGTTTCTTTTAAAAGGAGTAATATTTTAGAGCAGCTTTTAGCCTGGTTGACACCTGCTCACAGTTTCCTGCAGAAGTGCAGCTGTTAAGGAAAGTTAGATTTGGCAGTTGTGGGAAGTTATGTGAATAGAGCTGTAGTACCCGTATTTTTTTTTTTTTTAATTTTTATTTATTTATTTATTCTTTTTATGTGTGTACCGTCAAATTGGATCTGACTGGTACAGGAGGCGATTGTTCCTCCTTCTTCAGCAAGTACCCGTATTTTTTAAGGCTGAATCTGAATTAGCTTGTGTGAGTGAATTGTGGGAACTGGGTTTAAATGAGTGGTGTCTTTCTTGGTGACTTTTTCAGAATCCAGCTGCTTTATTTTAGCTTTTGGCTTTGAGAAGTACAGAATGGCTAAGAATGTTGTCCTCTTTTTGTCTGATAATGAAAACAACCCAGGCAATCACATTTTTCTACTTGCTTGGCCCTGTCCCATGACAAGATAACTACATCTGAGAATGGTTATAGGACATTTTATTAGTTAATGTACTGTGGAGTGAAGAAATGCTTAATGTGCTATAGGTTGGTACATATATAACCTAATAAGGGTAAGTCTTGAATCGCTTGGATTTTTGTCATTTTAAGCTTTTCCTTAATCTGGAATTCAGTTCTTCAGATTATTAAGGAATCCCAGCAACAGCATGGTTTACGGCATGGAGATTTTCAGAGATACAGGTGGGTACCATGTGCAGTTGTGTGAACATTTTCAAACTTGCCTTGTGTTTGTTAATATCCTGCTCTTTGTGACTAACAGAAGGTGGATTTAGGGAGACTAGCTCTGAATTTATAGTGAATTCTAAAAAGGGAATTATTTTGTAAACTTGAAATTCTCTAGTGAATAAAATGAGCCAAGCTTTTTACCATGGATACACTTAGAAGTATCTGCTAAAAATAATGGGGCAATTATGGTAAACAGTTTAACATAACTATGTTGAAGCATCTTGGCAGTTTAAATATAAAGGAATTTCTGTGATATTGATACATTTTTATAACAGCCTTTAAATTGGAAAATAATGTAATAGGAATCTTAGAAAGTAGAAAAGATGCCTGGTGTGATGTGTGATAATCTAATAATTTCTAAAAGAGAATCAGTCAATTCTTTGTGTCCTGTAGATACTATGGGCTTGAATACTTGATTCTTAGAAAGTACTGCTAAGATGCTCTATGTCTCAGGTTGTCATTATTCATTCATTTGAAAACATATGAGGAGCACCAAGTGCCAGATGCTGTTCTAGGCGCCAGACCAGTTGCTGTCGAGTTTCCTGACTCCTGACGGGCCTGTCTACACAGAGAATTGCTCCACAGAGTTCAGCCTCATGGCCTTTTGGAAGTAGACGGGGCCTTTCTTTGAACGTGTGTCTAGGTCGGTTTGATCATCCAGTTTTTCACTTAGTACCTGTGTGTTAACCTTTTGTGGTTAGTTAGTGGAGAACAGTAAATAACACATAAGGGTTCTTTCAAATAATTTGTTTTCTGGTGATTAAATAAGAATGTCTGCTCAGAATGAACATTAAAGGCGGTAATACGAAAGGGATGAGCTGGCGGGACACTAGCTTAGGTGTTGAGGGCCCTGTGTTAGGAACGACCCTGTGATCCGGGCATGCAGCAGAGAGCTGTGCCCTCCAGTCAGCCATGTGGCATGCGTCAGCAGAGCTGGGCAGACTGAGCCACAGGACAGTGGCGTGAGGTGAGGTTGGAGAGGACAGGGCTCGCCTGAAGAGTTCAGGTTTTGATCTCATTGTGGTTGGAAGCCATGAGAGAATTTTGAACAAGGGGCTGTTAGGACCCAGATTATTGTTTAAATTATTAAGGAAATCTCCAGACTCCAGTGTAGATACAGTATAACTCGTGAACTCATTATTGAGTCATTTATGGTCATCAGTCGTCGTCCTCTGCCCTTCTTGATTCTTTTGTTCCATCCCTACTGTAGAGTGATGAATTTCCCCCAGCCCACGTGTATGTACCTTTTGTAAACCTGCACCAGATGAAGGAGGAGACATTAATGGCGCCCTGGGAGCCCCCATGCAGGTTTCACAGGGGTAGCACGTTTGTCCCTCTGCTTGCAGTGTGGGAGAGTTCACTTCTCCATGGCCTTGCCAGCATTCATCTGATCTCCTTATATTTATTGTGCTAGATTGTTTTAAAATAAATCCTAGACATACCATTTTATCAGTACCTGACATTGTATCTTTAAGTAGATAAGGCCTTTTAAAATCATACCCATGTGCAGCTGTGTCAAATTCAGTGCTAGCCCCACCCCATGGCTGGTACTGGCCCAAAAGGCTGCCATAGAAACACTGTAACTCATGGGCCCTGTTTCCCTCTCTTGGGCCTCAGGGATAAATTTTGTTACAGACATCAAGAAGAAAAAAAAAGGCATACCCACAATGCCATTATCCCACTTAACCAAATGAACACCTATTCCTCTAACATCTTCCCCAGTGATGTGAATGGTGTTTGTTAAGGGCTGGGGTGCTGGCCTTGCCTCCCAGTGACCCCCAGCACAGCTGGTCTGGTGCCAGCCCCACAGTTGTGGCTGCTTTTGAGCGCATTGTTCTAGCCACTGTGCCAGTCTGTCACTTTGAAGATCTTCCTCTTTTTCGATGACTCTGTTTTACCAAGGACACTGTCCTGCTCAGGGATTGATCCAAAGAGCATGAGATAAAGTTTCATCATCTTCACTTCTAAGGAACCTCCTAGCTGTGCTTCTTGCAAGGTGGGTTTGTTCTTCCTCTGGCAGCCCATGGGATAGACAGGATTCTTTGCCACCTCCATAATGCACAGGTGTCTATTCTTCTGTCCTCCGTATTCCTTGTCCAGCTGTTGTGTGCATATGAGGTGATTGAAAATGCCGTGACTGGACCTGGCACAGAAATCACCTTTGCGCTCAACTTATAGCCAAACAATAGATAGGCCTATAAGGTGATCCAGAGAGGGACTTCTTAGAGCCGTCAACCATGTAGGATCTTTTTTGCCAGAATAAGTCCCAGGAGGCAGGTGGATAGGCAAGGACAAGTGGAAACAGGAACACAGAGGAAGAGCCCTGCCGTGGTGGGGCTGTCATGTCACAGCTCACAGTGTGTGTGGATTGCTGAATGGAAAACCAGTTTGCTCTAAACTTTTACTCAGATCACAATAAAACATTTACAAAGAGAAAATACTGACTCGGGTCAGATGCATTTTAGTTTTTGATATAACAGCTTTGCTTTTTGAAAGGGCTTTTGCAGTGTGTTTGCTCGATGTAGTAAATCTTTTGATTTCTTCACTGCTGCTTCCATGATTGTTAATTGCGGGTCCAAGTTAAAAGAAATTGTGGATGAGTCCACCTGTGGTGCGCAATACTGCTTACTGGTCTAATTGTAAGGGCTTATATGTCATTGTGTGAGGTCCTTGTACGGTGATGTAAATTATAGTCTTTTATTTTGCCTGATTTCTCTATAATGTCTGTTAAAAATTTATTCTAATAAAGATGCAAACACTCACAGTGCATTGTTTTGTTTTGTTTTTAATTGTGATTTCAGTACAAGTTTCCTGAGTGGTTTAGGTCCCAGTCAGCAGTTTGTGCACAGTTATACATTGCTTTAGTTACAGTCTTCACAATGCATGCTCATTCTGCTTTATTTCCATTCTGGTTGTCTTGTTTCCATTAATCTAGTTTTCTTGTCCCATTCATTCTTAGTTGCTTTTAAAGTAAATGTTGGCTGTTTGGGCTCATAGACATTTGTAAAGGAGCACTGTGTTTAGGGTAACAGTCATGCTGTTTTGAGTCAGTTTGCTATGAGGCTACAGGATGCCATCAGGCTTTAGTGTCAGTTCAGGATTTGAAGAGTATCTTAGGGTAATAGTCTTGGAATCCCAGCCAGCCAGTAAGGTTTGTTGTTTGTTTTGTTTTTTAAAGGAGTTTGAGGTTCTGTTCTCCACCCCCCACCCTACCGTCTCTTGTGACCTAATCAGAATAGTTAGCCCTGATCACTGGGCACTGTCTGTCCAACTCCTGGTTTCAGCATAGAAGAGAACATGGTTCCTGTAGACTCTTCTTCTATAGAATAGTTTCTTCATGATTCTTTACTATTTTGGAAAAAAATTATTCTAGTTGTTGTGTCAGGATGCACTGTTAAGTGTCCAGATAAGGGTAACCCAATTAAGAGGCATATTCAGCCCCTATGTGGTGATAAGGCTTGAACTAGGATGTCAGCAATGGAAAAAGAGATTAAAGAGTGAATAGGATTGGGATATTTGGAAGGAGAGTTATGAGGGTTCACTGATGGATTAGATGTAAGCCTCAGGAGAGGAAGAGGTGAGAGTAACTGGTAGTTGGGCTTGAACGGGACTTCACAAGATTCCATTATGTGAATGAATTTCCGTTTGCTTATCATTGTTGATACGCTTGCATTTGAACTTGGTTTGAATTTGCATGATAGCACCATTTATGGAAGTCAGAAGACGGGGGAAAAGTTGGTAGAGTGGACGCAGAGGATAATTTCTGCTTTGGAGATGCCTGTTAGATGTCCAAGTGGGACGTCAGCGAGGTCCTTGGATCTGTGAATTTGGAGTTCAGTGGAGACGTGAGAGCTGAGAATAGAGACTTACTCACGACAAGCCCTTCAATGGGGACCAATGTGATTGAGGTTATGAGCCCGGTGGTGTTTCTCTTCCACCTTGCTGCCTACGAAGAGGGTTGAGAAACTGGTTAGAAAGGTAGGAGGAAGCCGAGAGGAGAAAGTGTTCCAAAAAAGGATGAAGTGACATATTTTCAGAAGCTTCTGGGTAGTCATGTGACAGGAGACTAGGGAGGACGTTAATGTTTTTGTGTTTATAAAATTTTGAGATAATTACAGTTCCACATGCAGTTATAAGAAATAATATAGATTCCATATAGAATGAAATGCTTGCAGTTCAAACCTGCTCGCTGGCACACTGAAGAGCCTAGACCTGTCTCTGCTTCTGTAGAGACTGCAGATGGGAGACTGTGCAAAAGGTACTTGTAATTTGTGAACTCTGGTGGCCTCGTGGCAAGAAGTGGCACTGCATTCCCAAACGTGTGGCTCAGCTTCTCTGTGGGAGGATAGATGGGCAGTCTCCTCCCATGTGGTTACTCTGTACAACTAGTGCTTCTAAACCCACTGGAGGGTCAGCTATGGGTCGGTTCTGACTCTGCAGTACACTACAACAGTCTGTTAACCGGGACCTCTGGTGGCTTGTTGGTAATAAGTTGCACTGCGATCTCAAAGGCACAGAGTTTGAATCTACCAGCTGCTCTGCAGAAGGATAGACAGTCGGCTTCCATGGGATTTATTGCCTCTGAAAACCTGACTCCACGGTGCACAACTCTGGATGTGCCCCAGAGTACTTGACCAGTTACTCCCTGAAGGACATGCAGGTTGTCTAGATTTTAGCTGTTAGAAATAAAGGTCTTGGAGACAGTTGTGTACATGTTTTTGTGAGAGCATGTTTTCATTTTCTGGGCCATTAGCTGCAAGTCTAGTTTTTAGGAAATTTCCAAACTGCTTATCTGAGTGATGGTATGTTGCAAACGGAGGGTCCCAAAGAACGGAATAATTTTATAATTATTAATAAAGAGACAAACAGCCAGGAATGAGATAGAGCAGAGAGCATAAAACAGGGGGTCAGCAGTTCTCGACTGAAGACCTCAAGCCATGCTTCTCTAAGTATTT